TATTTGCTGCTAGCCGCTAGCTGCTAACTGCCGCCTCGTTAATATAAATCCAGTACCATGCTGTCATGAACGCGCGGTGCTGTTACGTGTACGCAATTGCACGTGCTTAATGTGAACGAGCCTTTTGGGCGGCGTGGTTAAAGTTGCGCATGCTCTATGAGTGCACATACGGGTACTTCTCAGGCATGCCGGGTAATCTGTGACGTTTCGCTCTCAAAAGTTGGGCCATTTTGTCATCATGCGCCATTGAGCAACTCTCATAGGAATGAATGAGGCCCCGCCTCCCACGCTGTATCCAGTTCTTATTATACATCCATGGGCAGAGCCTGTCACTACCATGGATGTATAATAAGAACTGGATACAGCGTGGGAGGCGGGGCCTCATTCATTCCTATGAGAGCTGCTCATGAGCGCATGATGATAAAATGGCCCAACTTTTGAGAGAGTGAAACGTCACAGATTACCCAGCATGCCTGAGAAGTACCCGTATGTGCGCTGTATGTGTGATCTCCTTTTTCTCGTTGTGTCATTTGACTTTATTTGCTGTGTGTAGATTCAAGGATTTTGGTTATCTAGGCACAGCTGTGTGTGACTCCCTCTGGTACACTGGTATGTGTTTTCCTAATGTAGAGAGCATTGATTAATTAATAAACTACACACTGAGTCTAGATCCTGACCAAATCCTTTTTTATTGTTGATCAAATGTTTTTCAAAAATGTATTCATACACATTTAGAAAAATACAATGTACAATCACAACAAATACAACACAAATTACAAAAAATACAGAAAAAACAAACAATAACAACAGACAAGAGGACAAAACTATGGAAAAATAAACCCTCCCACCCCCAGATCCGGACCATCCTTGTATTATTGCTCATTCAATCTATTATAGCATGCTAACAAATGGTACTTACTTTATTTGTACAGATCTGCATGGGAGACGATGGCGCGATGCAGAGCGCTGTCTGTGATTGTGCACAGGAGATGTACAAATGCAGCCACGCTGCAGCATTGGCAATATTTGCCATGTGGCAGATCAGCTCCACAGATGTTGAGTGCCAGTGGAGGAAGCCTGGCACTTCCAAAGTAGTCCAGCCGGTGTCTCAACTTTACCAACAGCGAGAGGAGACATACAACCCACTGGCCAGAGACATCGCCAACTGTCAACTGGGGGGTTGTAAACGAGGCCGAAGGGGTGAAGGCTTTTGTGCAGGCCTATCGGGTGACAGTGTTCGAGTCTGGTCTCTTTGTGAGTGAGTCGGGTGTTTTGGGAGCATCACCCGATGGACTTGTGCAGCCATCTGCCTGCTGTAGGTGAAGTGTCCACACAGCCAGAGGAACATGACCATCGCGGAGGCAGTCCAGTTACCATCCTTCTGTCTCCGTGCGGAGGGTGGGTCATATATTCTCAAGGAGAATCACCCATACTGGCACCAGTTCCAAGGGCAGCTGCACATCACAGACCGGAGTCTCTGCTACTTTGTTGTGTGGACCACGAAGGAGGCGATCATCATCCCCATCCCCAAAGACCCTGCATGGCATGGAAATCTCCTCCTCCTGGAACAATTCTACACCCAGCATATGCTCCCTGTGTTGGCCAGTAGAGAGGAGGACATTTAAATAAACACACTCTTAATACCCTCGGACTCTGCGTTGTGTTTGGTATGTGTGATGGGGTGTTATGCAGAGGGGAGGAAAACAGGACACAGCAGATTGGGATTGTGGTGGAGATGCTGAGCAGTTATTTAATTGTTTGCATGTAATTATTATTATACTGCGTGCTTCTGAGTTATTCCATCTTTTGCTGTAACATGGATCGGTATGTAACTCTATATTTACTTGTTATCTAACACACTTCCTTCTACATCATACACCATCATTATACATGATGGTGTATATAGGATATATATATTTGTATACATATCTGTAAATTGTATAATTTTATTTAAACGTCTTTTTGATCTCTGTCTATAAACACAAACTGAGTAAGATTGACAATAAAGTTGACTTTGAAAAAATATATATTCTTTATGAAAATAGTTGACTGTTGTCAAATGAATCCAAATGAAAGTTGGATTGAACTACAACTACGCCTTTAAATCTCTACGGACTGTTTTTCAGTGGGATGGCAAGTTCCTATCTTTAAACATTTATTAGTTTTTTCTCAGAACAGATTTGATTTTCTGAAGTTAATTTAACTTTGCCGACCATGTAAGGTCATTATTAAAAGGTACAATCAATTTGTTTAGGGTTGACTAAAATAATGAAAAACATTCATTTGGATAATTTACGGACAGAATAATAAACTCAATGATGCTCTACTCACCTGTTCCTTTTTTATAAAGTGAAACAGTTGAAACGATAGATTTTAGTAAACTTAAAAACAACCTTCTCCAAAAGCTATCAAGGAATATACCGAATACTTGTTTTAGAACTTTATTACATATTTTTATATAAATAGTTGGAATGATCCATAATTGACAGAAGCTTGTGTTTACACTGACCTGTTACTCATATATTAATGTCTTTGTAACTTCAGTGAACCACTACCTCACTCATTTCACTTTCATTCATCACGGTTCAGTAAACTAAGTGATACATGAACCAGTTTAATCATTATAATAACGTAGGATTGCAACTCTTTGAAAATGTAGGTGGCTCTTAAAAGAGCTGTTGTGTTTGGGTGTGCTGGTCTCAGGTCAGTCTAAGCCCTCTCTCCGCGGATGCGGCGGGCCAGCTGGATGTCCTTGGGCATGATGGTGACCCTCTTTGCTTGGTTCATCTTACTGGGGGGCAGCTACATGGATGTCGGTGCAGTCCACAATCATTGCGCAGTTGAAGGCAGAGAATTTATTGACTCGAATGAAGCACAACTTCATGTCATACAATACAATGACTTATTTGTAATTGTGTAACAAAATATGAGCATTGATTAGCAAGCAGGACCTGCAGGAACAGAGAATGGTGATGGATGGAGCTGGGAAGAGAGAAGAATAAAGAAAACAGATCAACTTATTATCGGATATTACAAATTCAATTTCAAAACAAGTTGCCGCTCTAGTTTTCTAGATGTAAAGATGATTTCACATGGAGCATACATTACATTACATTGCATTTAGCTGACGCTTTTGTCCAAAGCGACTTACAATAAGTACATTCGACCAGGAAGACACAACCTTGAAGAAAAAGAATCATATAAGTATATCAGGTTTCATAGAGCCAAACATTTCAAGTGCTACTCAACTGGCTTTAGGTAATCCAGTCCTTTATTGGTATAAAGTGCTTCGTTAATCGTTCAACGCTCGAAGTGGAGTCGAAGAGATGAGTTTCAGTTTGCGCCGGAAGATGTGCAAGCTATCTGCGCCGCCTGATGTCAATGGGGAGCTCATTCCACCATCTTGGAAGCCAGGATAGCAAACCACGTGTTTTCGCCGATGGGAACTTGGGTCCCCCTCGCAGCGAGGCGCAACGAGTTTTGGCTGATGCAGAGCGTAGTGCACGCGATGGGTGTACGGTTTAACCATGTCCTGGAGTAGGAAGGGCAGATCCATTCGCAGCACGGTAAGCAAAGTACCAGTGTCTTGAAGTGGATTCTAGCAGTTACCGGAAGCCAGTGAAGGGCGCGGAGGAGCGGAGTGGTGTGGGAGAATTTAGGAAGGCTGAAAACCAGACGAGCCGCTGCATTCTGGATGAGCTGCAGAGGTCGGATGGCACATGCAGGTAGACCAGCCAGGAGGGGAGTTGCAGTAGTCTAGGCGTGAGGACGAGAGCCTGGACCAGAACCTGAGTCGCTTTCTGAGTCAGCTGGGGACGTATCTTCCTGATGTTGTAAGCGTGTTATCTGCGCAGCGGGTTGTAGCAGCGATGTTTGCAGTGAAGGACAGGTTGTTATCTAGGGTCACACCCAGATTCCTTGCAGTCTGAGTCGGGGAAACAACTGAGTGCCGATGTTGATGTCAGGTCAAGAGTTGGAAATCTTTTCCCGGGAGGAAGAGCAGCTCAGTCTTGTCAAGGTTGAGCTTGAGGTGGTGAGCAGACATCCACTGAGAGATGTCAGCTAGACAAGCAGAGATGCGTGTGCGACGACCTGGGTCTCTGAGCGGGGAAAGGACAGAATTAATTGGGTGTCGTCAGCGTAGCAGTGGTAAAAAAACCATGCGGGCTAATGACTGATCCGAGCGAGTTTGTGTACAAGGGAAGAGGAGGGGACCAAGAACAGAGCCCTGAGGGACCCCCGTAGTTAATTGACAAGGGTCGGACTCAGACCCTCTCAAGTCACACCCTGTAGGTACGGTCTTTCAGGTATGAGGTGAGGAGGGAAAGTGCAGAGCCAGAAACTCCAAGTTTTGGAGAGTGCGAAGAGGAGGATCTGATGATTCACCGTGTCGAATGCAGCAGACAGGTCCAACAGGTATGACAGAAGAGGAGAGGGATGAGTTTTGGCAGTGTGAAGTTCCTCCGTGACAGCAATGAGAGCAGTTTCTGTGGAGTGACTGCCTGTGAAACCAGACTGGTGCGGATCCAGAAGGTTGTTCTGATTGAGATAACAGAGAGTTGTTTAAAGACAGCGCGTTCAAGTGATTTAGACAGGAACGGGAGGAGAGAGACAGGCCGTAGTTTAAAACATCAGACGGTTGAGAGTGGGTGTTTCTTTAGGAGAGGGTTTACTCTTGCCTCCTTGAGACTGTTTGGAAAGTGACCAGAAGTTAGAGAAGTGTTGATGAAATGGGTGAGAAACGGTAGAATATCAGGAGCGATAGTCTGAAGGAGGTTTGAAGGGATAGGGTCCAGAGGACAGGTGGTAGGCGGGCAGAGGTAATGAGGGTAAGAACCTCACTTGGAGAGAGAGGGGAAAAAGGAGGTTAGTGTGTTGGTGGAAGAGGTCTGGTGACCCAGCGGTGAGTAAAGGTGAGTCAGAAAAAGAAGAGCGAATATCATTAACCTTTTTTTCAAGTGGGTAACAAAGTCGCTTGACAGAAGGAGGAGGGGGGAGGAGCTTTTGGAGGGTCCAAGAGGGTGGAGAAGATGGAAAAGTTTTTTAGGATTGGAATAGGAAGATTGGATATCTCTGAAAGAAAGTGCTTTTTGCCTGAGAGATCGAAGCAGAGAAAGAGGAGAGGAGAGCTTGATAGGTTAGGAGGTCGTCACGGTGTTTGGATTTCCACCATTTCCGCTCTGCTGCCCTAAGGACGGTTCTATAGCACGCAGTGCATCATTTAGCCAGGGAGCCGGACCTATGCAAAATATCACACTCAATACATGTGTTTCTCTGGGGGGTGCATTGTGCCTTTGAGTATATAAATAAATACCATAACCAAATACTATTACGTACAGTGGAAATCAGGTTGCCAGAGCAGGTCAGTGTGCATGTTCCTCAATGTATCAGCAGTTACAGGTGAGGTAAAGAAAATAAAGAGAAAAGGTCAGTAACAACACTTTAAAGTAACAACACTTTGAATAATTATCTCTTCTAACAATTTCTCTCAATAAGCACACAACGACTGTCTTTCCAACAAACAGATTGTCATCACAATGAAACACGTCCAGAAGAATGTCATGCAAAGCTCCATGCCTGCCTTCGACTCTCCCTGAACTGCTTCCTTAGCACCCGGTGGAGGGCGCAGTAGGCTACTCTTCAAAGTTTCACGAAATACTACCATCATGTTGGTTACTGTTTAACATTTGGTTTACTTCATGTAATAAAATAATAACTTCATGGTAAGGCTACTAAAAATGACAAGGCTAAGTAATGTAATGCTAACTAACGTGCTCGCTACTCGTCGCTACTAGCAAGGTAGCTAACTTGACTATGTTCCATGCACAACATGTATATTACCTATGATATTACCTGATATGTCTGATCCAGCGACTCCTGGTCCTTTCATCAGACGGGAATCGATAGAAGCAGCAAGTGGTATGATCACTTTTATGACTACAACCTGGTACAAAGCACACAGGCATCTTGTAAAAGTGAATTTATTTTTAGCGATCTATAATTTATTGGAGGGAATAAATCAGTTATGAGATCTTCTTCTTCTTCGCTTTAATTACGAGTCTTATTATAAATCACCGAGCATGCCTGTGACATCACTTACGCGACCCAGAATGGGATTTGGGAGTCTTTGTAGTAGCGTATTTTTCATAGTCTTATATTCAGCAGTTTTACGACAAAATGTGATTTTTTGACATGGAAATGATGCTTAAGATTGACAACACATCATATGTGTTCGTGGCACAATTCAAACGGGATCAAAATATATGTCCCATGGTCCCATGGTCCGGAAGTAGATGGGCGTGACTTCGCCTCTCCATAGGCTTGTTTGAGACGCGTTGCGGCTCGCCTCGAAAGTAGACGAGAATAGCTGATCGCAGCCGGGGGAGGTCTCAAAAAGCTCGCCTGAAGTCAGACAGCTCGGAGTCAGCTTCGTCTTTTCTTCTCTCGGTTTTTTGGCGGATTGCAAACAGCTTGAAGGTGCATACTGCTGCCTCCGGAGTCGGCTTGACTCGGTTTGCACTCGGTTTGCATTTATAAAGAATGCACACATGTGTTTAATCGTTAATGTCAGGTATGTACTAAGTAAATACATTTATTTTACATAAATCCAGGCTGAAGACTTTTCTTTTTGTCGCTGCTTTTAATTGAACTATTCATATCTTAGACTGCACTGTAACTTTTATCCATGTACTTTTTCTTTTAATGTTTAATTGACAGCACTGTAACTTTTATCCATGTATTTTTTCTTTTAATGTTTTTTTATTAGCTTTTCTTTTTAATGACTGATTTTAAATGCCATTTTCTTAATCTCTTTCATTTTTTGTAAAGCACTTTGAATTGCCTTGTGTTGAAAAGTGCTATATAAATAAACTTGCCTTGCCTTGCCTTGCCTTTGCCTAATTTATAAAGTAAACCTTAGCATCTCACTAGCAGTGGCAACTGCAATCAGTTACAGCTGCCCTAAGTCTGTAGCCAAGTCTAATAACACCAGTGTACACGTTGCTGTGTCAATACAGATATTTATTTGTTAATTATTTGTCTTAACTCATACACCTGGTTTATCGTAGCAAGGAAACTCCCCTCAAGAAGCGAAAATTGCCAAGGGCGTTGCAACCCTCACTCGCCAATATTTCTTCATAACTATAGCACGTTTGTTTATTTTAGCAAACCATGCTCCAAGTAAAATTGAATATAAATTATAATGTTTAAAAAAATAGAGATCGGACCATCAGTCCTGTGTACAGATCAGTTCGATAAAGTCATGCCAAAACAGCGACATTTTACACGATAAATACGGGTTTAAATAGCAGCATTTGCCACGGAAGGCGAGTGGCAGCTACCGTAAACCTTCTCTTACTCTGGCATCTTGTGGCAACTCCCGTTGAGCAGCGGCAGATGCCTCGGCGAGTTGTGGCATCTGTGGCATATGCCGGAAGGACTTGCCACAGCTACCACAGAGTAGCGGCCTCTGTGGCATATGCCGGAAGGACTTGCCACTGCCTGCAGATGCCACGAAATGCGCTTGATGTCTCTCATAATTTGTGCGTAACAGAGAAGATTCTAATGTACAATTAACCAGGGAACCAGTAAACAGAACTGAAGTCCATTGACCATTTCACATCATACTTCCTGATAACACTTGTCTTTGTATTATTAAAATGACCAAAAGTCAATATTATAATGACTTTGACTTTCTGAGAATAACTACACATATTTAACATTGATGCATAATGACTAATGTGGGATTACTATTCTAACGACAAAGGTAATGTTACCTACCTGTGTAGATGCGAGCGAGGCTGAAAGCCAGGTCTCTGGCTGCCAGTTCCAGGTAGCCGGGTTCTCTAGTAGCTGCAAACTGAACAAAGTCCTTCAGTTCAGAGAGAGCAGTGCCCACTGCTGTCACCGCCGGGCTCAAGGAGGAAACACTCGATGCTCCTGCAAGCAGGGACTACAAGGAGAAGAAAACAAGATCATATTCCAGTTCAAGTCTGTCACAGATGAGTTACTGAACTGGGCTGTTTCCTGAACCCTTACCTTGGCGTGGGTGAAGAAAGCGTCAAGAACCATTCCTGAGCTACGAGCCACGCAGCGCAGCACGTCCAGAGACAGGACATTTGTGGTACCTTCCCATATACTCAACACCTGAGAAAAAAGGAGAGAATCTTTTTAATATCATGCCTTTTTTTCCAGGATCAATCGTTTTGTCAATACAATGGTGGACAATTTAAAAACATTTCTATGCGAGCTTCTCAAAGTCAAAGATGTTCTCAAATGTCTGGTTTTTAACCCCAAAGATATTATTTTTTAAATAATATAACACTCATAATAAAAAACAGCATTTTCTGCCATGATTTCATTAAAACCTCCTCTAACTATTTATTGATTAGTCAGTGAAGCTCTAGTTGACCTCACCTGTGCATCGCGGAGTAGTCCAGGCAGCCCGGTATCCTCAATGTAGCCCTGTCCACCGAAGCTTTCCAAACCCTCCGACACCACAGCCACTGCCTGAGACGAAACAAAGACAGTAAGGGTTGCTTTCAAACGGCGAGATTACTCACAGATAACAAGATAACAGACTGAACAGGTCGCGCATGCTTCCCAGTGTACAGTTTGACCACAGGAGTGAGCAGACGCAGCAGATGTGCATCGAGCTCAGTCGCCACGCCGCTCTCCTCTCGGCCCAGCAGACGACACACATCCATCACCAGAAGGAACGCTCCACGGGTCTCCACCTGTCCACAGCCAGAGCAAACGTGTGTGTGGTATGATGGGAGAGTTTGTATACAGTGTGTCATTTGTTTACCATCAGCCAGCCCAGCTCACCTCCATCCTGGCGAGAGTCTGCATGTGTAGCGGGTGATCTTTGAGAAGCTTTCCAAAGGCAGTGCGGCGAGTGGCATAGTCCCCAGCTAACTGGACGACCCTGTGAACACACACACACCTATAAATAATAAGCTTTCTATGGCGTGTTTTGTAGGAATCAGCGCAGGATGCAGTGCAGTATTATGAGTCTTGCCTCCTCATTGCGGCTGCTGCAGAGATGCTGTTGTGTATCCTGGTTATCGTCAGCATGTTAGCTATGGAGGCCACACCTCTCCCTTCCTCTGAGATCTGTATTTTTAGAGAGGAAATAAAGGAATCAAGTTCTTTGACATTTATTTAGTCTAAAAAATGTAATCAGCAGGGTTTGTCTTAACAGAGGAACGTACGAGAAGATGGAGAGACCCTGTGCTGTTGGCACAAAAGCCTTAAACTCTGAACATATAACAATACAATATATTTGAATATGCTGTATTTCTTGCTTTTCCCTGATGCCCTGAATATGTCTCTAAATTAGTGGCTTGGCTCAGGGGAAAAATTAGAGAGATGTCCTTGCTGTAGCTGCCTCAACAATGATTACACTTGTCAATGCAATACATAATATTGTATTTCCTCTTTTTAAGCTTAAATATACAAATGTTAGGCTCACAGGCGTTCATCATTATATGCAAAGACCAGAGGAGGAATCTACAGCTTATGCTTACTTTAAGAGACATGGAAATCAAACTTTTTACAATAGGAGACCTTTAAAAATACATGATGTGTAGCTGACCCTGTGTGCCTGCAGGCCGTCCAGCAGTAACTCAGCAGTCGGCATCTGTCTTGTGCCCAGCTTGTCTTTCAGTCTCTGAACCTCGATCCCCTTCAGTCGTCCATCCTCACCTCTGCTCACCTCTGCTGCATAGAACAACGACAAACCCCGGCTGCCCTGTAGGACACACAAACTAACACGCACAAACTAACTGTAAGGGCAATACATTCACTTTGTAAGTCATTGAGTGTATGGCTGATAATAGAGGATGTCAGCATTACTGGTGTGGTAGCTCCTGATCTGTCCTGCTCTCTGGCCAGAGTCAGAGTCATGTCTGCATCTGTTGCAGAGGTGAACCACTAGAAGCCGTGAAGTTTGTAAGAACCGTCCGCCTGGGGAGCAGCCACCGTCTCTGTGCCGCTGCCTGAGGAAGGAAAGATGGGGAGAGGAAACTCATGAGGCATCACAACACAGGGCAGCAAAAAAGAACAGACTGTGACCTGGATTCATATTAATAATTTGCTCTGTGCTTACATTTTTTTCCAAATATTTTGGGATAATGTAAGAGAATACAACTCAAGGAAATATATGAAAAAGATCTTGTCATTTTGACACATTTTAATGCAGAATTGTAACACCACTAGGTACTTTAGTGTATAGTATGGTACTAGGTTTTAGGTACTTTATTCTACGTTGATAGAGTAACAATAAAATATCTAGTGTTTTTTAAATATTACACTCTAGCCTTTTGTATCTGCAAGCTGAAGCTGATATTGTTCATGTAAGACACTGATGAACATCAGTACTGACCCACGTCAGATCCTCCTTGTCTCTCCGTCATCCACTGTCCAGACGTCCAGAAACGCTCAGGCTGACGAGTGGTCAAACGACTGTAGGCTTCATCTACCGGCCATGAAACACCTATGGACTTCACATACAAGAAAATCACTCAATATTTTACATAAAAAAGGAAACATCAGGTTAAAACAAGAATTATGCATTGAATCTTGGACACAGCAACACATGTGGATTTTTCCCTTCATCTTACATGTGCTTTTGTAAAAAAACAAACATGAAAAAAGGCTTTGTGTTCGCATAACTTAGGACACTTCCCATCAGCAATAATTGGCTTCTAAATTGTTTGTAAATGTATTGTAAACATAATTTAATGATTCAGTTTTATCTTGATTTTCTATCACACCTGGATGACTTTAGCAGCTCCGTCAGTCATGGCCAGAGGACAGGTGTAGAGACCAGAGGACGGAGAGAAGATGTACAACTTGCTCATTTAGTACACACGGCTGAAACACAAACACACACACAGAATTGATCTCAGGTTCTCATTAAAAACTTTTCTTATTATATAATTAATTAGCAAGTGAGCTAAAGTGAAAAGGGAAGTCTAACACTACCTCCACTCGCCGAATGACCTCTCATAGCCAATGGCGACCAGGCCTTCCTGTGCCGAGAGGTCTTTCATGCGTTTCCAGGCGGAGGAGGTCACGATGTGGTCAACTCTTCGCCCCCAGGGATCAAAGTGCACCAACCGTGGGGGGGTGATCTCACACTCTCTGCCCCACTCGTCCACCTCATTAGCCACACGCTCTCCAAATGCACACAAATCTGAAAAAGCTGCCTGTAAACCAAAAGGGTCACATAGATTATGGACAAGACCTAAAGACCTGAATTAAGTTTTACATGTATATCTACTCTGTCTGTTCTTACACTATTTTATTGTTTTTTACTTTCGTTTTATTGTTTTATGTCTTATTATGCTGCATTGTTGGAGGAGCCTGGGACTTAAGACTCCATGTGCCATATCTACACTGTAGTTATTGTGCATATGACAATAAAGCCTTTGAATCTTGAAGTTAATTTATAGAATATTTCCAGCTGTTGAAGGCCCAGCTGTGCGCTCTTCTCACCTCATGTGGCAAGGTGTCTCCTCAGGTATCCTCTCAGCAAAGCGTCCTCTAGAAACGGGTTTCTTCAGAACGGGTCTTTCCTGGATGAAGGATCCTATCTTTGCTCTGGAGAACGGCAGGTTCCCTGTCTCCTCCCACAAGTGGTTCCTCCTCATCAGATCTTCTTGTACCCGGCTCAGCTAACCTGGGGATCTTATGTGGATGAGAGATGGAGGAACAGCACACAGCGACCTGCAGCCACACGCCGGCTCAGGAGGGCTGAGCACACCGACATGACTCAGGACCTGCAGGGTGAGGGGAGGAACATGACAGATAAAGTAATGACAATATAGTACAATACATTTAATTTAGCTCACACTTTTATCCAAGCAACTTACAATAAAGGCGTTGTGTTATTGCAGAACATTGGGGTCGTATTCTTTGTTTCTTTTTGTTGTTTTTTACATTATTTCACGTTAGTGTTATTCAATTTTAATACATTTCTTCCAAAAATAACAATACTTCAAAATGACCAAAACCCTTTAATTCAGTCAGAGATCATACACTCTCTGTTTTTTTTAATTAAAGGATAGGCCTACATGGCTCTGGTTTTAGTCTATATTTTGTTTGTGCTATGCTATTCTTTGAGTCTAAAATGAAGCTTGAATTGATTGTTTGTTTTTTTAACTAATACAAGAGAGCTGAAGAAGAAATCGATTCAAGAGATATCTAGACGTGCCACATACAGGCACAGTAATTATATAGTTAATTTGAAACAGGGCCGTGGGAAGTAGGGGTGCTGAGGGTGCTGCAGCACCCCCTGGTGGAGGACAGGGGATCTGCAGTTCCACAAGATATAATTCAAATATAATTAAAAAAAACGACAACACAACATTCATAATTAAGTAAAGATACACCCTTTTCACCCCGGTTACATTTTCCATTTGCCCTGTACGATGGGCGCTGTAGTGATGAAAGTGGGGGATGTTGGCTTATCAGGCGCCCGCAGCTCACAGCCAGAATGAGAGAGATAGAGAGAGGAGGTGCACCGGTACCGGCGGAGATTGTTGTTAGCTTCTGCTGCGCTAACGGATATAAGAAGCTGTTTCTACAATAATGTGGAGGGAGAGTTCTGTCCTGTCAGACTGAGAGGCTCAGTGAGGTAAAGGACTTTGAGGGTTTAGATAGTTCACTTTAGTCTAAGTTATCTCAGTGAGTCTCAAACGTTTTGATCACAATTTATGTAAACAAATTTCCAAGGCACACCTTTATAATTATTAGGATAAATAAAAACAGGTTTGAAATCATTCCAATGTATACGGACAGTAAAACCAAAAATAATCGTTTCAACTGAGATTTAAAATAATATGCATAAATAAATAAATGTTAACTGGTAAAATAAGATATGAAATGAACAACAAAAAATAAAATAAGTTACATTATTTGTTATTGGCTATGGTGAGGTTATTGGAAATGTTCACATAGCCTACTTATTTGATTAATAAATGCAAAACGATCTTTTTCATATGGGTGTTAGAGTTGTACCCCCTAGATCAGTCTCTAAAATTGAGGGCACTCAAATTGGCACCAGATTGAAGCAATTTTACTATAAAATGTTAAAACATCTTTCCGGGGGACACCCCCGGACCCGCCTAGAGCAGTGTTCCAACCTTTTTTCCATGAGCCCACCCCAAATGACTCCTGTTGGAAGTTGCCCCCCCCCCCCCCCCCCCACACCACACACACACATGCACACAGCGCGCAACAGCGTAATTAAAGTTTACAAAGTCTCAAAAACTGCTACAACTAAACTGTCCAAAACTGGATGAATTGGGAAGTATTTTGGTAAAGGAACGATGAACGCGTAATAAGGAAGCACTATTGGAGTGACTTTGATGGCTAATTGGACTCAGGATGAATTTATTGGATTCCAGAGGAAAAGATGGAGAAGGACGGGGCGCAGATGGAAACAATGCACAAACATGTTTGCTGCAAGATAACCGGATTTTGCCGATGTGTTTAATGTGGATTTCAAAAGTCGTAAATAATCTACAAAATGGAGGAGACCGATGTGAATCGGAGCAACCCTGTGACAAATAATCCAACTGAACCACCGGCATGGACAATGGACAAGAGTTTTTTTTTTTTTTTTTTTTAAAAATAAAAGCTTATCCAAGCAAAGCCTGGTTTGGGTGAACAATTTATGGGGCAGAAGAAACATTATATTAAAGACAGGAATTTAAAATGTCTGTCTTTTTATGCCTTTAATACTAACTTGAAATTTTATAAAATTATTAGTCAATTATTTTTTATATTTTATTGTAATGTAGAGACAAGGCTTTTAGTGACAATCATGTATTGCCTTGCAATTATATGTAAACACAATCATATAATCTGTATTAACGGGTCAGTCTATAAGCACTCTAACAGCACCATAAATTACATTTAAACAACCACGAAAAAACAATTATTGTTTCCGATATTGATTTAACGAGATGCTGTTATAACATGGAAACGGCTTAATTAAAAAAAATAAGCTTCAAAAATGTTTTATGAAGCACACTGGGTACAGCCCTGTAACACATGTGTTCCGTGTGTATAGTCCTTATCGCATGAAAACACATAGCATGAACAGACTGCAACAAAACCAGTCTTACAAAACAGACTTCTGCTAAACTGGTGCAGAAGCAAAGCATCTGCCTTAGATGAAGTTCACACAGAACTGTGGAAAAGGGAGAACATCTGTACTTGCTTTCAACGACATGATCAGGCTTATATATTATAAAAGTGTTGGCTAAAGTAACGCAGAATATATATATTTTAATTGTAAATAATTAGAAACATTATTTATGTGCACAAGTACACACACATAACAAGCTGTACCGAGTTCCTCCGGTTGCAGTTCCGCAGACGGCCAGTGTGTGGCAGCAGAGCGCTGGGAGCAGAGGGAGGTGAGTAGCCGGATATGACGGATGACGGATGCGACGGAAATACACCCGAACATATCTGGTAGCGCCCGAACATATCTGGTACTGAGGCAGAGCCAAGCCCCCAGGAAGTGCGCCGGACTCAGATGAAAATATTCGTGCTGGCCAAACGGCGGTACTGCACATCCGTTGGTTGCCAGGCCCGGAAACACTTTTCCCATTGACCTTACATGGGGAAAGAATGGTCTGTAACTCGTTGGATAATTTTTTTTAAACTAAATAACTACCCAGTATGAACACTTGTATAGCCCTTATTAAAAACATTCGTTCCTCAAGTTTTAAAAATGTGCTAATAAGGTTATTCTGAGTTATTTCCCTCTGCATTATGAAACGCGCATCTAACCCACGGGACCGCGCCGCCCGGCACGTTCATGTGATGTGTTCAGTACTACATGAGTTGTACCTTTTACCCATGGATGCACAATAACAACGGACCATATCGCCTTACTGCCAGCCCACGGAGCTGTAATAATGGATATATTGCACATGTTTTGCTGTAATTCATCATTGTAAAATATTATACTACATGGGCTGTATGATGTAAATCTTGTACCGTAAATGTTGTATTAATAAAGTTAATATTACCGACGTAGATTAACGTTCCTGTAGCTTCTTATTGCACTTGCAATTGTTTTAGTTACTTGTGGGCTAACATGAATAATCAGTTACTATCTTTTACTCCATCACATTCAAAAAGAAATAGGCTATGTTATTGTTAACTCCACCAGAGTAATCCATCATCAGCATTACTTTTTAGATAAAGTTTTAACTCACAATTGAATCATAACAGGCTTCAACATATACATTTTTATATATTACCAAGTGGTTTCATGTACAACCCACACAAGTATCATGCTAAATGAAGCTCTGTTGCCTTGGATATCACTAGATCCTGATGTCAGCGTAATATAAAAGTACATAACGATTGATGTGTAACTTAGCATAATTTACTTGCTAGCCGCTAGCTGCTAACTGCCGCCCTCGTTAATATAAATCCAGTACCATGCTGTCATGAACGCGCGGTGCTGTTACGTGTACGCAATTGCACGTGCTTAATGTGAACGAGCCTTTTGGGCGGCGTGGTTAAGTTGCGCATGCGCTATGAGTGCACATACGGGTACTTCTCAGGCATGCCGGGTAATCTGTGACGTTTCGCTCCTCAAAAGTTGGGCCATTTTGTCATCATATGCGCCATTGAGCAACTCTCATAGGAATGGATAGGCCCCGGCCTCCCACGCTGTAATCCAGTTCTTATTATACATTCCATGGGCAGAGCCTGTCACTACCATGGATGTATAATAAGAAACTGGATACAGCGTGGGAGGCGGGGCCTCATTCATTCCTATGAGAGCTGCTCATGAGCGCATGATGATAAAATGGCCCAACTTTTGAGAGAGTGAAACGTCACAGATTACCCAGCATGGCCTGAGAAGTACCCGTATGTGCGCTGTATGTGTGATCTCCTTTTTCTCGTTGTGTCATTTGACTTGATTTTTCTGTGTGTAGATTCAAGGATTTTGGTTATCTAGGCACAGCTGTGTGTGACTCCCTCTGGTAACAACTGGTATGTGTTTTCCTAATGTAGAGAGCATTGATTAATTAATAAACTACACACTGAGTCTAGATCCTGACCAAATCCTTTTTATTGTTGATCAAATGTTTTCAAAAATGTATTCATACACATTTAGAAAAATACAATGTACAATCACAACAATACAACACACAATTACACAAAAAATACAGAAAAAACAAACAATAACAAACAGACAAGAGGACAAAACTATGGAAAAATAAACCCTCCCACCCCCAGATCCGGACGCATCCTTGTATTATTGCCTCATTCAATCTATTATAGCATGCTAACAAATGGTACTTACTTTATTTGTACAGATCTGCATGGGAGACGATGGCGCGATGCAGAGCGCTGTCTGTGATTGTGCACAGGAGATGTACAAATGCAGCCACGCTGCAGCATTGGCAATATTTTGCCATGTGGCGATCAGCTCCACAGATGTTGAGTGCCAGTGGAGGAAGCCTGGCACTTCCAAAGTAGTCCAGCCGGTGTCTCAACTTTACCAACAGCGAGAGGAGACATACCAACCCACTGGCCAGAGACATCGCCCAACTGTCAACTGGGGGGTTGTAAACGAGGCCGAAGGGTGAAGGCTTTTGTGCAGGCCTATCGGGTG